GTTACCATCTCTGTGATCCTCAGATCTTTATATCCTGCCATGGTCTCTCTGCTGAAATATAGTCACACATCTTCAGTTGTCTCTTGGACATCTCAAGTTGGCTGTCCTGTAAGCACCTTCAGAGTTGAGATGTAGAAAACCGAATGTATTTTTCCTCTCCATTTCTAAACTTCTCTGTTATTCTCAGGGGTACCATCATACTCTCAGTTACTCAGGCTTTCAAGCGGAGTATCATCCTTGACTGCTCCCTCCCTCCATTTAACCAGTCCACTGTCAAATCTTGTCATTCTGACCCACATCACCTCTCCTCTGGTCTAGGTGACAGCTTTCAACTGGTCTCTTGGCTTCATCTGTCCCCACTCCAGTCCTTCTACCACTCAGCTGCCAAGTGATTTTTCTAAATCATAGATGTAATCATAGTACGTACACCACACACACACACACACACACACACACACACACACAAAATTGCCTCCAGGGTTAATCATAAAATACTATTTGTCATCTAGAGCTTTTTACAACCTGGCTCCCTCCTAGCCTCCCAGCTTCTTACATACCTTACAATCCAGTTATACTAGCCTACTTGTCCCTCAGCCAGGACGTGCCATCTTCTGTCTCTTTGGCTTTGCATTGGAGTGCTCTGTCCTCTCACTTCCACCTCTGAGTTTCTCTTGACTCCTTTCAGGACTCAGCTCAACTTGCCCCTTCTGCAAGAGGCCTTTTCTGATCCCTCCAGTTGCTAATAGCTTCCCTCTTTCAGATTACCTTCATCTATTCTATGTATCTTGTCTGTACCTAATTATTTACATATTGTCTTTCTCGTTAGATTGATTTTTTTCCTTGCTATTCCTGGCACTTCACAAGGGACCTGGCACATGTGAATGCACATTGACAGGACTGGAGACAGAGGAATAAGAAAGCACAGAACGGATCAGCTTCTAGTAGCGGCCTGCATTGAGAAGACTATAACCTGCAGAGAAGGTGCTGACCAGCACTGGTGGAGGGAACCTCCTCACCCAGGAGTTCTCAAAACCAGAGAAATCACCGGTAAAATCCGTCCTCAATCTTTATCTCTTTGCTGCCTAACAATAACCCTGTGAAGCAGGTGACCCAACTAATATTAAAGGCAAGGTCTGACCTCAGATCTGGTTTTGAATCTAAGTGTGGTATGCTATTTATTATCTCATATTGCTTCTCCCATGAATCTTTGTCACATACTTTGTCACACACACATGCACATGCAGTGGATAAGCTGCAAAAGAAATGAGAAAGACTATTCTCTGTAAGGTGCAGCTTGGTGATATACAGGAGCATGAGGTAACCAGTAAACAGGGTGTATGTTTATGATATATAAGCATTAGCTACCCAAAGCAGGAATTGCTGATCATTGCTCTGTGACTCTGTCTAGTCCCCACTGCCAGTTTCATTTCCCACCCTACAGAGTTCCCTTAAAGAGTCCATGTACTCAATTGCTTGGCAGTGGGGCCAGGTCATTTTCTTAGGGCTGATTGGGACTGGGAAACCAATGGGATTCATGAGCTATGGTCCCATCAGAGTAAAATGACAGCTTAATTTCTGTTTGTTTTTCAGGGCTACTTGTACACATGTTCCACTGGAACAGTTCAGACCACAAAGGGCTATGAGCACATCAGCAAGCGATTCTCTCCTCTTTGGAAATCCTGAGTTTCAGGCTATGTCAAGAACTCAACTCAGCCAACCTAGAAGGAAAAGCCATTGAGGCCCAGCCATTGGATGGAATGTGCAGGAGGCGGAAGAATTTGAAAGTCACTTTTTCAATGTACCCTATCCATTAATAGTGGAGAGAGGTTGGGAGGAGAGGAAAGATCATAATTTTCTAAGTGAAGGGAATTGACTGTGCCCACAACCATTTCCTTTTTCTGATGAGCAGGCCGAACTACTTGCTGGGTTTGTTAGAAAGCACGGAAGATTCCAGATGACTAGGTGGTAATAAGACGTCAGTAACCGGAGCCTGACCACAAATTGGGTTCACAATTCCTTTTGAATTTCAATATTCAATATTCTCAATATTCTCAAAATAAAGCACTGCTTTAGCACCTAGAGAAAATTCTGTATGGCTTAAAGCAGAGATATCAAGCAAGTAACCCATGGTGGTAGAGCCAAACCAGATTAAAATGTAATTGGGAAATATTTGACAAGAGAAACAAAAATGCAGTAAAATAAAGATAGCATTACGTTTTAAAAGTAAGTCAATAGACAGCCTTCAAGGATCCTTGTGTGTGGTTTAGTGGTCCCTCCTCTCCCCCATTTCTATTTGAGTTTGACACCACTGGCCTAGACCCAAGAGATCCCTTCCAACTATATACTTATGGCCCTATGAGCTGTGAAATGTTTGATGAATGAATGAAAGCCAGCTAGAACACCTCAAGAGAACTTACAAACTTAGAGACTTTACTATTCCTTTGCATGGTCACTTTTAACAAGTTTAATTCATACTTTTTGTTCTTTACATCATATAATCTGTTCCTTGTAATACTGACTTTTCCTCCTTTCCCCCTCCACACTAACCCTTGGAACAAAGCATAGTAACTGTACCCAGAACAATCATCTTCAGTAGTTATTCTCTGGGTGACTCAGCACTGATATCAGTGAAAGCATCATTAGGCTCTGCAATCAATGTTGGGCGTGGCACTTAATTCGAATTCAGATAACTTTTAGTGTTTTCATTTGCATTAAAATCATTATAGCATTTTGCTGGCTCTACTTCTTTCACCCTCTGTCATTTCATAAAAATCTTCCCATGTTTTTCTCCTAGCCAGCGTTTCTTATGATGACATAACATTACCGTGCTATGTTCACTCATTACTGACTTGAGGGCCACCCACTTTGTTTCCATGTTTTTGCTATTCATGGTCTTAAGTTGAGAATGTTGGGTCCCTATGACTCATCTGGAGGAAGGGCTATATTGTCTTCCATGCTAAGCTGCCTCCTGAGTAAGTCTCTCAGACTGTCAGTCTGTTCTGGTACACTAAGAAAAGTACTTCAGAAACATTTTCTTCTATAGCCCTGCCTCCCAGAACATCTTCCCATAGCTCAAGCAGCTGTGGGCAAGCTCCCCTGCTCATCCGTTCTGGTTGGATTGACTCCTTCGTCTCTAACTCTTGAACTTTGGTTGTCCACTGGAGGAGTCTGGTAGAGGAAAGAACCAACTAGCTAAAAGGGAACCTATCTCTCCTCCACTTCCGAAGTTGTGAGGGAGAGACAGGGAAGAAAAAGAAACTGTCTAAAAGGAAAAATATTGGAATAATGTTAATAATAATAATAATAATAATAATAATAATTGACTTAGCATCAAAATTGGGAAATGTGGACTCTGTATCTTAGCAGAAAAGAAAGTGTGCCTGGAGAGAGTTCTAGTGGCTAGAAATAGGCATCTTCAAGGGAGTATCTTGAAATTCAAAGTTGTTTCCTGAAGAATTGAGAAATATAGTGGGAGCTGATAGCGGGAAAAGGTGGTCAGGAGGGGTTTCATGTTCTTGCATCACAACTGAATGGAATGTCAGGTAGGTGGAGACAGACTATTTCTTAACTGTGGGGACTGCTATTTAGCATTTTTATAGGGCCCTTTTTCCCCCTAGAAAGCTATAGGTTCAGACCTACTGCTTTTCATTTTCCCTCACCCCCCTGAAGCCTTTTGTTCACTTAGAGTGTTTGAGGCTAAATTTGCGTGTCCATTTATGCCTGCGATGGCAATTGGGGTTAAGTGACTTGCCCAGGGTCATATAGCCAGTAAGTGTCAAGTGTTTGGTCTGAGGCCAGATTTAAACTCAGGTCCTCCTAACTTCAGGGCTGGTGCTCTATCCACTGTACCATCCGGCTGCCCCCAACAAATATTAAGTGCCTACTACCATATGTAACTGTTTTGTACACACAAAAATTTTATTTCCTCAGCACAGTCTTTGGATGCTCATGTTATAGGCAATAAATAGCCTGTTATGATTAACACACCATACAAAGTGGCACTTTTTTTAGCTTTCTAGTAAAGAGAGATTAGCTGCTAGGTACATCTAAAGAGCTTGTGGGACTGCCTAAAGTAGTGTTGTGATACAAGCTGCAGCTAAGTCCTATTTAGTGACTATAAGGAATCCTCTGAAGTGCTCCTGCGTATCTGAATTTGTAATTAACTAAAAGTTGATTACTTGGTTCCAGCTCAGTGGAAGTATGTGGTACAAATTAGAATGATTTGACCACTTCAGGGAATTTGTTATTTCCACTAATCAGGCCGTCTATGTGGCATTGTTGAGAGCTGGACGTTGACCTGCGGGTGTTACAGGAGAGAGTTCTCCCACTGAGCACACTATTCAATCAACCAGCACTTGTTAGGCACCTGACATGTGTCAGGTGCTGCACTTGGTGCTAGAGATACAAAAAAGTTAAACACCAAAACAGCTTCTCAAGAAGCTTACAGTCTTAATGGGGGAGAGGATGCAAATTGAAAGTAATCAACAAAGGGAAGGCATTAGAATGGAAGGGGTTAGGGAAAGGCTTCTAGTAGAAGGAAGGTTTTAGCTAGGACTTGAAGGAACTTGGGGAAGCCAGAGGGCAGAGTGAGAACATTCCCAGTACGGGGGACAGCCGATGACGATTCCTGGAGTTGAGAGATAGGCCTGTCTTGTTTGAGGAATAGAAGAAAGGCCAATGTTGCCGTATTGCAGAGTGCATGATGCATTGTAAGGTGTAAGAAGACTAGAAAGGTAGAAAGCGGCCAGATAACGAAGAGTTTTGAACACCAGACAGGCTTTTATATTTGATTACCAAGGTGATAGGGAGTCATTGGAGTTTACTGAGTACAGGGGTGGCATGGTCAGACCCAGACTTTAGGAATATCACTTTGTTGGCTGAGTGGAAGATGGACTGGAGTGGAGAGAAATTTGAGGCAGGCAGACCCACCAGCAAGCTGTTGCGACAGTCCAGGCATGAGGTGATGGGGCCTGTACCAGAGTGGCGGCAGTGTCGGAGAAGAGGAGGGAGCATATTGGAGAGATGTTACGAAGACCTTATATTGGATGTAAGGGGTGAGAGAGAATGGAGATAAGGATGGCACCTAGGTCACGGGCCTGAGTGACTTGGAGGATGGTGGTACCCTTGACAGTAGGCCAGGGAGAGGGAAGGGTTTGGGGAATGACGAGTTCATTTTGGGACTTGTTGAATTGAAGATGTCTAGGGTCTAGATATCTAGTCAGCAAATAGGTTAGGGCTGGATAAGAAGATCTGAGAATCATCAGCAGAGAGCTGGTAATTAAATTCATGGGAGCTGAGGAGATCATCAAGTGAAATAGTGTTAAGGGAGAAGAGAAGAGGACCCAGGACAGAACTCTGGGGGACACTTACAATTAGAGGGTATGACGTGAGTGAAGATCCAGCCATTTTCTAAGATTAATTACCTAACAACAAAACAGGACATGCGAATGTTCTCTGAACTTGAACTAGAAATTACATCTAGATTGAGCCCTAGACCTATAACCCAATGTGTGAGGAATCCATGGATTTTTTTTTTTTTAAAGGAAGAAGGACATATCTCCCCCATGAAATGGTGAGCTCCTTGAATGCAGGGACTGTCTTTTGCCGTTTTTCTTTTTATCTCCAGTATTAGCACAGTGCTTGGCACACTTAACAAATATTTGCTGACAGACATAGACCTCTGAGGTGGAAGTGGGGAGGAAATGGACATGTCAGAGCCCTGCTCTGAGGCCAGTGACTCCTGTGGTTACGCCTCGTAGCTCCTGCCACTGGAACCCTGTTGGAGGAAGCCTTTCCTGTTGAGAATCTGACCACTTCCTCAATATCCTTGCCTCTCTTTTTCACTCTTGCTGCCCTTGAGTCTATGCTCAAAGCTAAAATGGAATTCACCCAAGCATGCTTGGTACCATTTGTACAGTGGTGTGAATGGCAGCCTTCTTCCGTAACCTGTCATGTTCCCAGACTATCTCTTCTTCCTCGAAGTTCTCAGCCTTCTTTCTTCCAGTTGGTAAGTCCATTTTAGTGGGTACTGCTACTGAGTTTGAATACTTGCAGATAGTTGAGGTTTTTGCAGGTGAGACCAAGAGGTACATGGACTAAACTGTGTGTCTTTGATTTCTTTTTTTAAAAAAATTAATTAATTTATTTATTTTTAGTTTTCAACATTCAGTTCCATAAGATTTTGAGTTCCAAATTTTCTCCCAATCTCACCCCTCCCACCACTCCAAGACGGCTTGCATTCTGAATACCCCTTCCCCTAATCTGCCCTCCCTTCTATCACCCCCACTTCCCTTATCCTCTCCCCCCTTCTATTTTCCTGTAGGGCAGGATAGATTTCTATACCCCATTGCCTGTATATCTTATTTCCCAGCTGCATGTGAAAACAACTTTAAACATTTGTTTTTAAAGCTTTGGGTTCATGTCTTTGATTTCTTACAGATCACGATGCAGCTGCTATGGAGAGTGGAATAGAAGCAGAAATATAAAGGGGCAACAATGACCTCAGTTCCCCAGAAGTGGGGATGGTTTTGCTGCCCTCAGGCCCCAGGGGTGAGGATGATTTTATGGAACTGGGTGAGTACAGGTAAGTGGGCATGAAGAGTGAGGAAGATGGTGATAGAGAGATGAAATCAGCTAAGGCCTAGGAATACCAACTCTAGCACCATGCTTAAGGCCAAGATCCCAATTACATTTTAATCAGACAAGGAAGTAACCTGAAAGATAAGTACCTTCAATGAGTGAGTTGATTAAAGCATCGACATGAGCCTGGCTGAGTTCTGGGTGAATACTCACTTAGTATCATCCCTCATACTATCTGTTCCAAGACTACATTGTGATCTTTTCCCCGTCCTTTCCAATGATCATCTGCCAAAATCCCTAGATTACTCAGAGTATAAACTTCTTGAGGGCAGGGACTGTCTCAATTTTGTATTTCTATCGTAGCCTCATTGACTCCAGTCCATTCTCCCTGAGCATTCCATTCTTACCCTCGGCCCTAAAGGATAGTTGGTGCTGGCGTGACTCTGGACACTTGGGGTTTGCACCAGGTCACCCCAGTATTCATTGAAAGCTTCCTGGAGGCAAAATTTCTTTTGGCCTACTGAGACTTCAGGACCAAATCACACTGGGTTTAGTTTGGGCCAAGCCTATTGCATACAATTTGGAGGATATACAAAAACTTGGATCAGTTCTAAAATACATCTCATCTTAATGTGTTGCAAAGGGCTGGGGATTGCCTTGGCTGGACCTTCTGAAGCTGCTACCAACTGTCACAGAATAGCCCATTCAGCTCTGAACCTGACTGCCAGACTTGGCCTAGAGTAGGAGAACTGACTTCCGTGATTATTCATCTGTTCCTCTCACCAGTCAGTTCTCCAGAATCACACCCATTGCCTTCATTCCTACTCACATGCTACTAAATTAAGATGGAGAAATTATGGTACTGTACTGGTTTAGTCCACTGTAAATTTCTGTTACATAATCTCAAGTGGGTCCCCACTGCAGCAAGGCAATCCTTTTACTCCCTAATTGACTACTACTACTACCACCCCCACCCCCGCCCCCCTTACCACTACTACTACTACTGCTACTACTACTGCTACCACTGCTGTGGCTTTTTGAAACTTCATCATCCTCCCTCAAATCTCCTATGGCTCCCCTTCCCCCCTACTCTTTCAGCTGAAACCCTCGCCTCACATATTCCCTTGAAAAAGTTGAGGTCATTTACAGAGAACTCTCTGGTCTTCCCTCCTTATTATCTCACTTGCTCTGATACTTCCTTCCACTATGTCCTCCACCCCTTCTTGCCAAGGCAAACCCCTCTGCATGTACAAGTGTTCCCATTCCATACCATCTTCTCCAGCAGGGTGCCCCCTCTCTCATCTCAGCTCTCTCTTATCTGCAATCTCTCCCTCTCTACTGGCTGCTTCCTTACTGACTACAAACATGTCCATGTCTCTCCTGTACTTAAAAAACCCTCGCTTGATCTGTCCATCCCTAGTATTATCATCTCATACCTCTCTTCCCTTTTGTGGCTAAACTCCTTAAGGAAGCTGTCTATAATTGATGCCTCCATTTCCTCTCCTCTTAACTTTGCAGTCTGATCTCATCATTCAACCAAAACTGTGAACTCCCAAGTTACTGATGATCTCTTAACTCCCCAAACTAATAGACTTTTCTCAATTGTGGTTCTTCTTGATCTCTCTCCAGCCTTTGACATTGTCAGTGACTTTCTTTTCCTTTATATTCTCTTCTCTCTAGGTTTTTAGAACGCTACACCTTCTTGGTTCTATTTGACCGTTCCTTTTCTGTCTCCTTTGTTGGATCTTCATCCAGGTCATGCCCTTTAACTGTGAGTGTTCCACAAAGTTCCATCCTGGACCCTCTTCTCCTCTTCTGTATTATTTCATTTGGTGACTTCGTCAACTCCCATGGATTCAACTGTCATCTCTATGCAGATAATTCTCAGATTTATTTGTCCAGCCCTCACCTGTCTCTGGACCTTGAATTTCTCATATCCAATCTCAAACTGGTTGTTTCACAGAAATCTAAAGATTAACATTTCCAAAACAGAACTCATTGTCTTTCCCCCGAAACTCTCCCCTCTTCCTCGCTTCCCTATAGCTGTGGATGGTACAACAATACCCTTAGTCACTGAGGCTCGAAACCTAGGCATCATCCTCAATTCCTCATTCTCACAATCCTCATATCCAATCATCTCCAAGGGCTATTGCTTTTACCTCTGTATCATCTCTCACATACATGCCCTTCTCTCCTTTGACATTGCCACCATTCTGGTGAGGGCCTCATCACCTCACCTCATGCTTGAACTATTGCGCTAGCCTGCTGGTTGGTCTCCCAGCCACAAGTTTCTCCCCATTTTAGTCCACCCTCCACTGATCTGTGAAAGTGATCTTCCTCCAATGACTAACCTTGTTGCTGTTCCTAGCACATGATACTTTATCTCCAGACTCCAAGCATTTCTACTGACAGTTTGCCATGTCTGAAACCCTCTCCCTCCCTGTCTCTAGCTTCTGGCTTCCCTACCTTCCTTCACTTCTAGCTAGAGTTCTACCTTCTGCAAGAATCCTTTCCAATCCCCCTTTAATGCAAGCACCTTCTCCTGCTATTTGTAATGTATTGTAGGTATCTTACTTGTTTATAGTTGTTTGCAAGCTGTTTCTCCCATTAGACTGTAAGCTCTTTGAGAGCAGGGATTATTTGTTTTTTTGCCTTTTACCTGGCACATAGTAAACACTTAATATATGCTAATTGACTGACTAATTTCATAACTTCTAGAGAACAAAATGTCACTTGCCAAGTCAGCAATAAAATGAAGGAGACTGCATATTTTCCCGGCTCCTTTCCTGGTCTCCTATTTATGATTAAGACTATGGCTAAGAAGTTGGCAGGAGACCTAAAGATGAAGCTCTTTTGTAACTGAGGCCCAGAGAAATTAAGTGATTCAACTATGTAAAAAGTCAATATTAGATCTAGAACTCTCTCTACTAGTTGGACCACACCCTTCCTTTTATTTATATTGAGCTTTTCATACCCAATATAAAAAAGACAGCAACTGATACTTACCCAAATGATGTAGAGGTGTCTAGGTGGTACAGTGGACAGAGCACAGGACCCAGAATCAGGAAGACCTGAGTCTAAATTCAGTCTCAGACAATTACTAGCTCTCTGATGCTGTGCAAGTCACTTAATCTCTTTCACCCTCAGTTTTCCCATCTGTAAAATGGGGATAATAGCTTCTATCTTTCAAGGTTGTTTTCAGGATAAAATGAAAGAGTTGTAAAGTACTTGACATACTTTAAAGTGCTATAAAAATGCTAGTTATTGTTATTTTTTGTTACCAGAAATGGAAGCAATATTATATGGTTGCATATTGAAGATTTACTTGCTTAGGAGATCTTGAAATGAAAACTGCTTTCTAGGTATCTGTGCCCCCAACAAACCTCTTTTAAACTCAAAAAGGAAGGAGTGGGTGACATGAAAAAATGACTTTGATTTTTAAATTGGTCTTTAGAACATTTGATTGGTCCATAAACTATATACATATATTTATATTTTAATATACGTATATTTAATAATAAAATAATATTTTAACATATATGTGTGTGTATGTATGTATGTATTTTGTTGTTCAGTTGTTTCAGGCATATCTGAGTCTTTGTGACCCCATTTGGCGTTTTCTTGACAAAGATATTAGAGTGGTTTGCCATTTCCTTCTCCTGCTTATTTTACAGAGGAGGAAACTGAAGCAAAAGGAGTGACGTGACTTGTCCAGGGTCACACAGCTTGTAAGTGTCTGAGGTAGGACTTGAACTTAGTTCTTACACACACATCAACACACATGCACGCACATACACATGTGATGTACATATGTGCATGCATGTGTATGTATGTGTGTATATACATATAGTTGAACATCATATATAAAAAAGAGCATTGATGAGAAAGGCCATGAGACACAAGCATTTCCAGGCAATGAAAACCGTTTGGTATGCATGTTATTCCACCTTCACATTGCACCCTACCTTTTCACCACCCCAATGTAGTGTTGGATCCACCAGTACTTACATATGCAAAGTTATTTTATGATCTCTTCCATGTACTGACTTGTGCAGGGGTACAAAGTCAGTAAGAGGTGGGAAAGACTTGAGGCTAGGCCAGAGAAGAATTGTTCAAAGGAGGCAGGTGTTTTTGACCTGGAGCAGAGAAGGGAGAGGCAGATGTGATGTGGGAGCTACCAACCATCTGGCAGGTCTTACCAAGTATGAACAGCTTTATGTACCAGCTTAGAACTTCAATTTATGTCAGAGGGCTAAGTTGAGGAAAAATGGATTGTGTGAAAAGAGCTGATCACTGCTGAGGTGAATGCTTTGGGGATGAGACTTAAAAGGAAGTTAACTCCCTTTGATGTGCACAACAGTGAGTGGCATCCCTACTTATCCTGATATTCTCAAGGATATTCTCAGTGACCAAGTGTCCTGACTATCCGTCAGTGATGGGTGAAAAGGAATAGAGAAAAGAAAAGTTAATGCTTGTGCAATGAAGTTTAAAGTTAACTTTTCTAGAGAATGAAAGTAATGTGTGCTGTTCTCATTACTAGCATCCATGTAGGCTTGTAAAATTATGCTTATGGCAAAATGACCAGATTTTAGCTATGACGTAGAAGGCAAACCTGGTATATTTTGCCCCTTGTGGCTAGTGGGAGGAGGGGAATGGGTGAATCCTTCCCACTGTGGGGAGTATAAGGTTAGCATTGGAGTGTCTAAAGGGGGTTTGTCAGTGAATAATCCTGGCACACAGTAGGAACTTACTAAATGTTGGTTGACTTGAATTTGCTCCAGTAGGGTCTGAGGGCTAGGTCTAGCTGTCTCGCTTACCCAGGCAGGGATAGCAGCCTGAAGCTTTAAAAGTTTACGTCAGAAGATTGTGGGTGGAAACTCTCAGAGGTTTGCTCTAAGCATCCTGAGGCTTCCTCAGAGAGCAGGTGTTTCTCAGAGAATCTGCACATGTTGAGAACAAGAGGGAGACTTCCCTGGGCTGCTGTGGCTGTATAAAGATAGACCTGAGTTTCTTTCTTTCATACAGCCCCCGCAGGAATCCCTGCTCTGCTAAACACTTACGTCTACGGAAGGAGGATTGATCCTTCCAGAAAGCAAGAGAAGAGTGCTTTTTACACCAGAAGAACCAGCCCCTGCTACTACTTGTCTGCCATGCAGCAGAACCTGAATTATCTTTACCCTCAAATCTACTGGGTAGACAGCAATGCTGGCCCATCCTGTGCTCCTCCATTGACAGCTCTTCCCTGTCCACCCCCTGTACCTGGAAGGGCTGGTCTGAGGAGGCCACCGCCACCACCACTACCACCACCACCGCCGCTGTCACATTCACCTCCTCCACCTCCACCTCTTCTACCCTGCTCATCTCTAAAGAAGAGGACTAATAACACAAATCTCTATCTTCTTCTGGTCTTTTTTATGGTTCTGGTGGCCCTGGCTGGACTGGGAATGGGACTGTTTCAGCTCTTCCATCTGCAGAAGGAGTTAGCCAAACTCAGAGAGGTAAGCCTGAGCTCATTCTTAGGTGGATTACTACATATTAGAGTGTGTGTGTGTGTGTGTGTGTGTGTGTGTGTGTGTGTGTGTGTGTGTGTGTGTGTGTGATAGCTCTGGCTGTCATTCCATGAAGTGCTTTCTGATCCTTTTTCTGGTTGCTGTGAAGTGGATAATACTAGTCACCCCATCCTACAGACAGACAAACAGAGGCATGGAAAAGGCAAAGTGAGGCTTGAGGTATAGAGGTTCTGGGCTAGACAAGATGATCTCTGAGGTCCCTCCCAGCCCTGAACTTATCTGTTCTTTGGTAATAAAGTGAATTGGGGGCCAAATTGGAAACAGATTCCAACATAAAAGCAGCTGCAATGCCTCTCACTTATCAGTTTAGAAAAAATAGGAACAAGACCCATGAATGTCAGTGTAGGAGCTTTTGATTTCAATGGATCAAAGATATTTTCAAACCTAATCATGTGAATCCTAAGTGTTCAGGCAGTCTGGTTTTTCTAACTTATTTTTCAAATGGTAAAACTGAGGCATAAAGAATGGTGACCTCCTTTAAGTCAATGGTAGTTAGGAAGAGGATCTGAGATTTGTTGGTGTCTTCATCTAGGACTTTAAAATCTTGGCAGTGAGATCTCCTTTATTTACCAGACTATTTGTATATTTGTATACAAATGGAAGGCATATAAAATATTTGTATATTTTCTTTTGCCAGTCTACCAGCAGTGGGCAGGTGGTTGCATCTCCTGAGCAGCAAATAGGTGAGTCATATTTATACATGTGTATGGGGTACCCAATGTAAATGTTGGGCAAGCAATCAAATTTATGAAATACCTCCTATTTTCATCCCTTTCTTTTCTGTTCTCCATGATGCATTCACTGACTAAATACTCCAAGCTACTTCTGACTCTTCTTCTGGTCATCATGGTTTTTTTAGCTGTCTCATATTACTAGACTGCCTATTTGTAATCTTGACTATCTCTGCAAATGTAGGAGATAAATAACTAGAATAAAACAAAACTATAGAAAATTCAAAGCACATGACTTTGAGTTGTATGTATCCATGCATAATCCCAATCTGGATTCCCTTTTGATTTAATCCTGTTATAATGGCTTTAAGTCAGCTGGATGTTTGAAGAGGTGAGTAATCTCCAAGGATTACTAAGATTTTGCTTGTTTGGAGGCAGTTGTACCTTTCTCTTATAATCTCTGTGTTAGAGATTAATTGATAGTTCCTAGATTTTTGATGGATTCATGACTAGGTACTTTGATCAATCTGTGTTTAGGTCCCCAAACCCCCCATGCCTTTTCATCATGTGCTTTCCTGGAAATCTTCCAAATAATACTTAAGTGATGACTTAGAGGCCACTTGGGTCTTTCACTGTCTTGGGGATATCAATGTACTTTTTGAAAAGTCCATCTGTTGATTGGCTCATTTCCATTTCCAAGGATAAAGATGTTTGCTAATGCCTTTTATGCTGTGTCCAACATATTATCAGTGGTCGAATTAAACAGGATTTTTAAATCTTCCAGTCTTAATAATTGCAAATTTGTAGTGGTAGGAGACCTAGCTTATTTATGTATTAATAAAACAGGAATGGAGTTATGTGGGGGAGTTGGGAAGAGAGCCGGAAGTACAATAACTCTATTTAATTCAACAAACATCTGCTAGGGAAGACTGAAACATCTGAGAAACATGGCCCCATGGAGCAGTGGCATGGTGCCATGGAAAGAATATTGCTTGCAGAATGAGAGGACATAGGGTCTAATCCTGACTGTACTACTTACTACTCATGTGATCTTGTGCAAGTTACTTCATCCCTATGGGCCTCCATTTCCTCATCAGTAACAAGAAGGGGTTGGACTAAATGTCCTCCAAGCCCATCTCAAAAACTATGATCCTGTGATCTCTGCTGTCAAAGAGATTGTATTCTAAATGGGAAGATAAGATAGGTACACACGTGTGAAGCGCAGAAAGGGCTGAAACAAGGATTTTAGTCTTCTTAGTTTCATGTGTCCAGTCCTGAAATGTTTTATGAAATTTGAACTTTGTTTCTTTTATTGCTACTGTTAATCACTAATATTCCTCTTTGTGATGTAGAGGTGATCCTTAGTTGTGTAAACCAATGGAACACAGTATCTTGCAGGTCCTATAAGGCTAGAAAGGATTCAAATATGGGCTCCGTAATAGACTGAATGTCTTTCATGTGAAGATCAACCTCACTAGGAATGGAGAGGCTTATAACTGGAGTTTTGGCCCATGAGTGGTAAGATTGTTTTGGCCACAGAAGCTTATAAAGTACTGTCTACAAAGGCATGGAAGGCTTATATGAGATCTGGATTGAAAAGGAGGGATGCAACACGGATGAAATTATGAATCTTTGTGAAGCCTTTCTTTTTTCTTTTCCTGAGTGGGCAAGTAGCTATCAGGGCAAGGGATATTGGGAAACAAAAATTGGGTTAACTCTGAGACTCATAGTTATAGCTCTTAGCCAGAAATAAGCTTTCATTGGCTCTTGGATATTAGAAACAATGGATCATTTTATTTGTTCATTGGATTGCCTTCTTACACAAAGGGGGAATGTACAATGAACTGCCATATTTGGTCGTGAAGAGTAGCCTCATACAGAGTCTCCTGCTGGGGCTGGATGAGGGAGGAGGCACTGAGGCTGTCCCAGAAAATAAATTTAGAGTTGGAAGAACCTTAGAGGTTATCTAATCTACCCATTTTACAGATGAAACTGAACCCCTGAGAACTGAATTGACTTGTCCAAGATCACATAGCTAATTAGTGGCAGAGATAGATTTGGGATCCAGTTTTTCTGATTTACAGTCCATTGCTCTTTCCACTTTTATATATTATCTCTCATAACAAGAAAACCTCTTCCTTCTGTCAATCAGTAAATAACATTTACTAGGCATCTGTTACATACCAGGCACTGTGCTAAGTGCTGAGAATACAAGGAAAGGCAAAAATATTTCCTGCTCTCAAGAAGTTCACAGTCTATTGGGGTAGGGGAGAGACAACATGAAAACAACTATTTATGAACAAGATATGGACAGGACAAATTGGAGGTAGTCAACACAGGGAAGGCACTAGCAATAAGGGAGATCAGAAAAGGCTTCATGTTTGCTTGTGAAAGTTTTCTTTACCAAAGACAAAACAAGGAAAGGAGAAAATGAAACCTAAAAAAAAGAAGGGAAAAAAATTAACTACCTCAAAAGAGGGGGCAGCTAGGTGGCGTAGTAGATAGAGCTCCAGGGCCTGGAGTCAGGAAGATTCATCTTCATGAGTTCAAATCTGGCCTCAGACACTTACTAGCTATGTGATCGTGGGCAAGTCACTTAACCCTGTTTGCCTCAGTTTCCTCATCTGTAAAACAAACTGGAGAAGGAAATAGGAAACCACTCCAGTATCTTTGCCAAGAAAACCCCAAATGGGGTCATGCAGGGTTGGACGTGACTGGAATCGCTGCAAAACAACAACAAAATCTTCAAATGAACAACGACAAAAACAGACAAAAGAGGATGGCAGAGCTAAGCTTTAACAATGCCTAGTATGTATATCTAAATGTGCTCCACCACTATACAGGTAACATGGATGCAAAGCTGCCTTTGTATATGAGCTTGAGGGTTCTCAATCATTTCTGTGTCATGGACCCCTTTGCAATCTGGTGGAGAAACTGTTGAAATTCAGTTATCAATATATAGAGGTATATAAAGACATACTTATGTGTATGTATATTGACACATTTACATTATGTGTTTGTACATGTGTGTATACACATGTATATATGTGTATGCATATGCATGTTTGTGTTATGAAGCCCTGTAGTCTAGATGTAGGGACCTTAGTGATATTTTCTGAGCAGCTCCTAATTCGTGGTGGGGGTAACAGTTGGTCCATTGGTAGATTGATGATTGATTGATGTACATGAAGGAGGAAATAAAAATGATACAGTCAGGCTGGGAACCAAACCAAACCTTGAGAGGGCTTACGAAAAAGGCCATCGGTTTGATCAAATAAGATAACATTTTTAGGATGCTTCATATCACATGTAGCAATAGGTGAATGAGCTTCTAATATTGGAGTCAATACTTCATTACTGACTTTTGACCTCAAAGATGTGTGATGTCATCAGCTTAGCTACTTCTTCTACCACTATTAAATAAAACTTCCCTCAACTTAGTAGATGGTCTTTGAGAACTGCAGTGGCTAAAAAATATGTTGTCCCCTGGCCAGCTTGTGATGGGTCTCATCTGGTCCTCTGAGACATACAGAGTGTCACAGGGCCTGTGTTTGAAGCTGTGCAAGTAAGATAGAACCTCCTGGAAACTGTACTTTTCAGAGCTAGTCTTGGGAAAACCTGGGCCACCTCCAGACCTCAAGGAAGCACTGATACGGAGCTCTAAAGGAGGAATGTGATTGCTAATAGCAGTTATAAGAAGGCAGCTAGGTGACACAGTGGATAGAGTGTTGGATCTGGAGCCAGGGAGACCTGAGTTCAAATCCAGCCTCATATACTTATTTACTGTATGACCCCTAAACAAGTCATTTAACCTCTGTCTGCCTCTGTTTCCTTATCTGTCAAATGGGGATAATAATAGTACCTACCTCCCAGGATTATTGTGAGGGTAAAATGCTATATAAGTGACTAGGTGTTATTATTATTAATAATTGGATGTAGCTATGAATATCATTAAGATATTTGATCATTTGAAATAACCAACTCTGCTCCTCAGTCGTTATGGCGTGCTTGGTGTAAATTTCTTGTGTATAGATCAGGTGGTCAGATGGCTCAGCTTGTCACTGATAGTCTTGGTTTTTTACTTCCTGTACAAGTCAACAACACAGTATAGGACCCTAAATAAACTGAGAAATACCTCAAATTTTTGTGAATCACCATGACTCATTTATGATGGTGATATAATCATCCATCTAACTGGACTGCAGGGTTTAGCTTTTGGGTTTCAAGGCAGGGCCCTAAGGAAGCACTCTCATGTGAGTTTCATTAAGGAACCTACTCATGGGATTCCTTCGTCCCCTCCCATCCAGCTTAGCCACGAGGGTCCCACAGCTTCTGGCGTTTTGCTATCATTTCATTTTTCCAAGATCCAGCCTTTTCTAGACTCTCTCCCCATTTTCTCTTTCATTGACTGGTTAGAAATGTCATCACATTTAACCAAAATGAACCATCGGCTTCTCCTAATATTGTTCTCCTCCCCTTTTCTCATGCATATTTCCTAGTTTTCTCCCAGTATGGTAGGTGGGCAGGGGGAGGGGTGGAGAATATGAGAAGTTCATCAGAGTAGCAGCAGACACAGACACTATATGTAATATGTATCCTATACATATTTGTATGTATGCATAGGTGTGTATATGGCATGTGTGTGCCTACAACTATATACACATTTGTACCATGTGCATACCAGGGTGCTGCAAGGGTGACTGGAATGTGGAGTGTGAGCTGCAGGGTCAGAGGTAGCCAAGGCTTCATTTATACATGTGGAACAATCTTTACCAGTGTCAAAAAGCCATTTCCTATTCATATTCAGCAAATATTTATTATAGTTTATTATAGTTCTTTAATGAATAATGCATACCAATAAACCTGTATTTAAGTACCTTCTTACTCTCTCCAGGGTACTGTGCTAGAAGCTGGAGAAGATAGAAAGTTTTGATAAGATCTAACCCTTCCCTTTAAAGAGTAATACTAATTACCATATAATTAGTAATAACAATACTAAAATTAGTATTAATAATAGTCATAATAAATTGCTCTTTAAGGTTTATAAAGTGCTTTACAAATATCTTAACTTAGCTTCACCACAACCCAGGCAAGCCAGTACTATCCCCCTTTTACTGGTGAAGGAATTAAGGCAGGTAGAAGTTAAGCGACTTAGCCCAGGTCACTCGGCTAGGAAGTATCTGAGGCAGGATTTGAACTCATGTCTTCCTGACTCCAGGTCCAGTGCTCTGTCCACCATGCCACCTAAATGCCTCTGCTATAGCTTATAGTCTAGTAGAATGATAAAACATAAATAGAGAAAGCAATCATGTACAATGTAACATAACAAGTGCATTTGAGAAGTATAAAAGGAAGTGTTGTGGATGGTGTCAAGGTGAAGACTGTGACTGACAGGCATGGGCTGGGTATAGATGGGGGAGAAGTCAGAGAAAGCTTCATGGAAGAGGTGGCATTTGAATTCGGCTAGGAATTTAACAGATGAAGGGGAAATAAGGATGTCCCAGGAGTTGGGACTTTAAAGGTCTTTAGAGGTAAGCGAGGGGGGAAAGTATAGGGTGTGTTTGAGGGATGGAGAGTGGCACAGTCTGGCTGCCAGCATAGAGTGCCTGGAGGAGAATGATATGGGAAAAGAAGGGGTGACTCTGGTTGTGAAGGGCCTTCATTACCAAGCAGACAAGCTTGACTTCCGTAGGTAACAGAGAGCAATGGAAGATCCTCGAGCATAATAGTAACAATGGTTAGAAAGATGACTAGGGAAGCTTAGTCTGTCAGTGTGAAGAAGGGTAGATTGGAGGGACGTGTGGGAAGACCAGTTAGGTCGCTGTTGAGATTGTCTAGTTGGTGTTAATGAGGGCCTGTGTGAGGGTAATGGTATTGGGACTAGAAAAGAAGAGATCTAGTCATACTGTTCCTTTCCTGAACAACTTTCAGTAGCTTTCTGTTGCCATCCCAGTAAAATTGAAACCACGCTGCCTGCTGATCAAATCCCTCTACCATGTAGCACTGCCATCTCCTCAGAGAAGCTTTCCCTGCTCCCCAGTGTTGGTGGCATCTTTTCCCTCTCAGATTTACATGATACATTTTTTCCAGTCTTATAAATATATGTCTGTTGTAATACTGTGTATTATGGTCACATGGGTTTTTGTCTCATCCTCCTACTCTAGACTCTAAATGAGATAACGGTAATAACCGTGTCTCGGCTAACCATTGTATCCACCGCAGTGCCTAGCACAGTGCTCTTCACGCTGTAGGCACAGAATGCTGAATAAATGAGGGCTATGCTGAGGAGCGTAGGATCACAGATTTAAAGCTAGGATTAAGCACAGATCTACAGGCCAGGTAGTCCAATTCCCTCATTTTCGAGATGAGGAAACAGGCCAAGGGAGGTTAAGTGATTTGCCCAACATCAGACGGGCTATGATCATCAGAGGTGGGCTTTAAACCCCTGCCTTCTACACTAACAATGGATCGATTTAACACTCTACGGTTCGCAAAGCGTTTTCCTCACAGTCCTATGAGGAAAAGAATTGTCATCCACATTTTGTAGACGAGGAAGCTAGAGCTCAGGAAATTCATACAGTTTAGTGCCTGAGCTGAAGCTCCAATAGAGAGGGCTCCTTCTCCTGACTCCCAAGTCCAGTGCTCCCCTCATCACATGCAGGAAGCATGCATCATGGTCCCTATTCTCCAGGAGCTCAGAAGCCAGTTGTGGGATATGAGGTATACGCACGTTAAGTGTAAAATAGTACTCAGAGGGATTTTCATAATCAGTGCCAGGTGAGCCATTGATATGTTGGCATGGGCTGCCTCATGAGCTTGGAGCAGGGGCAGAAAGCTCTCTGAGGGGTGTTAATGCTTTTTCTCCTTACTGGCATTTGTTTGTTCATGGTCATGAGTGGGTGCCGAGGGTCTGGAGAAAGTGAGGACCTCTTAAAAATCTTTTCTAGTAGTTTTTTCAGCTAATTGGGTAATTCTTTCTTTCTTTCTTTCTTTCTTTCTTTCTTTCTTTCTTTCTTTCTTTCTTTCTTTCTTTCTTTCTTTCTTTCTTTCTTTCTTTCTTTCTTTCTTTCTTTCTTTCTTTCTTTCTTTCTTTCTTTCTTTCTTTCTTTCTTTCTTTCTTTTCTTTCTTTCTGCAGTTTGGGTTAAGTGACTTGCCCAGGGTCACACAGCTAGTAAGTCTGAGGCCAGATTTGAACTCAGGTCCTCCTGACTCCAGAGCTGATGCTGTATCTACCGTACCACCTAGCTACCTGTAATTGGACAATTCTTACACTCATTATACGACCACAACCTGCCTGATCTGGGCTGACTTCTTAATCATGCTCTTTTTATCTCCTCCTTCTCCCCTTCCTCTTCCTTCTGCATCTTCTTCTCTACTTCTTCCTTCTCTTCCTTCCCCACCACTACCTCTTCCTTCTCTGCCTCTTTTACTACTACCTTTTCCACCTCTTCCATGACTACCTCTTCTTCCCTCTCTTCCTCCTCTTCTTCCTTTATTGATGATTTTTGTGTTTTGTGTCACAATATATAGTACCCATATAAAACTGTCTCCCATCCCAGAATCCTCCCTTGTAACAAAGAAAAGCAGTTAAACCACCTGATGTAGGAACCATGTCTGTCAACAAATCTCATGTTGAGCATGTTGTAGTCACCATCACTAAGAGGAGGGAGAGCTTCCTGAGCCAATTAATTAGCTGTGATCATTAGATTATATCATTTCCATGGTTATAATATGTTTAGTGGTAGGGGGACTTCTGAGACTTTTTTGATAGTCAAAATATAGTATAGAAGCAATGGGGCTTTATGGCTGACAGATCTGCAGAAGAAATGCAGAAAAACTCCTTAGCTCACATTTTGTTAACAGTTCAAATTAATTTGTGTGCTAAACCAGGGAAGATCTTGGAAACTATCTAACCGTAACCCAAGGTAGACTTCATTCCTGCTTTTGTTGTGCATATTTGTATTGTAGCTAGCTAGAAGCCTTACTTCCTACTTAGTCATAGTAGTAATTGATTTTTTAAAAAACTTTTTCAATGTTATACTCCAGTATTTCAATATATGTTCTATCACCAACACGATCTCAGTCAACTCCCTCCCACTATGACATCCTTTCCCTCCTGATCTGTACAATTCTTCCATATAGTTTGATACATTAATTAATGTATAGCTGTCTGTTACTGAAATACCACACCACCAAGAGTCACATGATCTGATATCTGCCTCATGTGTGTTCTAAATTTCTTCCTTTCATGTGGTGATTCCCTGCTTATATTTTTACCAGTGAAGTAATTTGCATCTCATTCTTCATGAACTTTTCTTTTTCTTTTAAAAAAATAATACAGGCTCTCGCAACACATTTGAAAAGAAGGAACTAAAGAAAGCAGCCCATCTAACAGGTTTGTAACACAGGCACAGGATGGGAAGAGGGAGCCATTGGCACAAAGGAAAGGTTTCTCAGGCGAAGAGTGACCCCAGAAATCCATCCCAAATTTCTAAGACTCCGTGGCCTGGCTGACTAATCCATAGAATTGGTTGTACCTACCTTTGAAAAACTCTGGTGTCTTATTATTATAAAACCACAGAGATGGTTTTATTTTCCAATTATAGTTATTTGGAAGCCATGATCAATCATTTCTTCTGTAGAATGAGAAAGAACCTTAAATGTCTAGTCTTAAGTGTCTAGTCATTGGCTTTGGGGTGCATGTTGCAAAGAGTGGAGCATAATCAATGACCTAGCCAGTTCCGAGCCTACCATTGTATCTGGCAGGAGAAATGTGGTAAATGCAAACATGGTGGAAGTGGGAGGGGTGTGTTCCTCTTACCTCTAGTAACGTAGTCATTAACAGGATACAAATGATTTGCTACCAATATAGAGTTCCTAGAGTAAGTCATGTCTATGATTTACCACATCCATAATAGATAAGGATATGTTACAAAGTAGTGTGTTGCCTGCCTTTAAAAGTCTTCAAATCAAATCAAGTCTGGATGACCCTGTATTAAAGATGGTGTATGTTACGGAGGTAGCAAGGGCCAGAGGATTTGGAATCAGAGAACAAGGGTTCAAATCCTGACTCCACTATTTACCACCTGTAGGATCTCAGGCAAGTAACATCTCTGGTGTTTCATCCCTTAATATGTAAAATAAAATATATGAAATGATATCTAATACATATATCTAAGGTTCCTTTGAACTTTTGATCTCAGATCTTATGCTGTTGAGAGGAATCTCTGAATTGGATGGGAGCTTGGACTGTCTGAGTCTAAGGGTCCTAACCAGCTACAATAGTTTATGTTTTAGGAATTTGGACATCTCTTAGCACATTACCCCTTCAGGGCCATTTTGTTTTTGGGTCTTGGGATCCTGACACTTTTGAATCAGATCACTTTACAGACACTGTGATGTCCTGATGAAATTGGCAGAGGAGTGATATTATTACTTCCAATTCGTAGACTAGAACCCTGAATCACAGAGGAGATGAATCAATACACACAGTCAAGGTCGCAAAGGGAGTTATCAGTAAAGGAACTGAATTAAATTCATTGTTATACCCCATGTAGTGCCATTGATTCATAAACTCATAAAGCTGGAGGGGGCCTTAAAGATCATTCTGTTCAGTGCCCTCCTTTTGTGGATGAATTGAGGCTCAGAGTAACTTACCTATAGTCACACAGCTAGGGAGTGGCAAAGCCAGGATTCAGACCCAAGTCTCCTGACTCCAAGTCCCATGTTCTTTCTACTATACCAAGCTACACCTAAGTGATTTCAAGTGATTCTGAAGATGCTATAGCAAGGACATATGAAGTTGTGATATGGAAGCAATGTGTTCAGATGCATAAATGCCTCTCTTTTAAAGCTCCTCTCTGATTCTAGGCAAGCCTAAATCACAAGGCATCCCACTTGAATGGGAAGACACCTATGGAATCACCCTTGTTTCCGGAGTCACATACAAGAACCGGGGTCTGGTGATCAATGACACTGGCCTTTACTTTGTCTACTCGAAGGTGTACTTCAGGGGCAAGCTCTGTGACAACCAGCCCCTGGAACATGTACTTTATAAAAGGAACCCCAACTATCCCCAATCCTTGGTACTGATGGAAGAAAGGAAGATGAACTACTGTACCAGCAGGCAGATGTGGGCCCAAAGCAGCTACCTAGGTGCTGTGTTCAACCTCACCAGTGCCGACAGCTTGTATGTCAATGTCTCTGCATTTTCACTGGTCAGTTTTGAGGAATCCAAGACATTTTTTGGCTTATATAAACTCTAAGGCAGCTCTAAAAAAAAAAGAGGATGGGGACTGCTTCGTGATGGTATCCAGTCCGTTGTAGCTCTGAGATTATTGCCTTGATAAGGAGCTCCATGAGTTTTGGGAGCCAGCCTGAAGTCAAGGAAAGACACACAAACCACAAGGGTCCTAGGACCATGAGAATGTTGGATCTGTTGTTTCTTTACCTTATCCAAAGTCCATGAGCCAATGGAAGCCATTGGGTATGGGTGAGGGTGGAGAAGCCAGTGGCCGCCATGATTATGCTGAAAAGTCTTGGTTGTCTTTTGGTTTTAAACTTGTAAAGAGCACCTTTTAAACTTACCTTTCATGGATATGTTTACTACCTCAGGGGAAATTGTCCTCAACTGAATATTCTTGAATGTGAATGGCAGGGAATGGGTGGTGTGTGTGTAGGTGTGTGTAGGTGTGCACAAATGTATGTGAAAGAGAGTCCTTGCCATATTAGAGCATCTACACTTCTAGATATATTTCTAGGAGCATAGGTTTTTCCTTGACAAGGAGGACAAGATTTTTCCTGTGTGAAGAACCACGTTTTGTTCCACATACAAAGGATGTCAGTGCAATTGTTGCTGTGTGTTTACGTGTGTGTGTGTGCCCATTCCACCACTATGAAGATTATTTCTTTGGGTTTTCTCTAAGCAGAGGGACATCTGAGAATTCTGAGTTCTGATACATGCTTATCAGAAAAATTTGGGAAAGATTAAGTGGTGAATCTTGGAAGTTTCTGAAGGAACTAACTTTATTAATCAGGTGTTTACGACAGCGCAATGTTTTGTGGTCCTCAGAAAGTTCTAATTAATGTAAGCTATTTGTCCTGTGTCCACAATATTTATATACAATATGTGCATATTTTTCTATTAAGAGATACTTGTAATAAAAAATATCTATTTTTAGTATATTTATGGCCTGTGGAATGTTATTATTTTGAAGTGAGTAGAAAGTAGATTTTACTTAGGAGAAAAGGCTCTTCCAATTTGTCAGTTTGTCATAGCTCACTATTCCTTAGAGTAATTTGTTATTTTTGTTAAGTCTGGGTCTCCTTATCACTTCCAGACTGGAAGGGAAGGGGCTACTCACAGATTGATTCCATCTTAACAAGAACTTGGGCCTGCTCAGTTTCCCATCTGGTTCAGTGGCAACCTGGTGGTCCCCTACTCCCAGGGACTGACCCACTTGATGCCAGATTTAGTGTAGTCACCTGATTGGTTTAGCCCACTGAAGCTCCAAAGTCTTGAGCTCAAGAGATCCATCAATCTCATCCTCCTAGGTAGCTGGGATTACGGCGTGTAGGACTGTATTTCATTTGGACATTGATGGAGCTCTGTCAGCATAGAGTTCAATGAAATTCTTCACCATTTTATCATTTTCATTTTAAAAAAATCCATCAGTTGTATTTCTCTTGCTGAGACATTGCTGTGAAGAAGTTTATAAAATACCAAACTTCTTTCCCTTTGTAACCAGTGAACATTTTCAACTATGTTTGTTGCTTCATACGTTCGTAATGCAATATAAGAAGAGTTTAGTTTCCCAATTAATTGATCAGAAAGATCTTAAAGATCTTCAGAGGGGGTGATTCCCATTGTATCATCTGCAAGTGGAACAATTCGAAGCTACTTTGCATGTGGTTCACTGAACATCATTTTGACCATATAAGTAGCTGTGGGTAGCACCAACATTTCTCCTATCGAATGACTTTTTTTGCCTTACCAGTTCTGTGAGTAGTCTTAAAGACGTTTGGAAGTAATCATAATCAAGTTACTGGTCTGTACTTTGCAGGGTAGTATTTTCCATTCTCTAGGCTTGTAGAACCTCTCAAGTTTTCCATGATCTTTCTTTTCTTAAGAAAAAAAAAACTATTGGGGCAGCTAGGTGGTACAGTGGATAGAGCACCAGCCCTATGGTCAGGAGGACCTGAGTTCAAATCTGGACTCAGACCAAACACTTGACACTCACTAGCTGTGTGACCCTGGGCAAGTCACTTAGCCCCAACTGCCAAAAAATTAAAAAAAAATTTTTTTAATTATTGAGGCTTTTTTGGTTAGTTTGTCATATCACTATCATTTCCTGATAATTCTACAGAAGCCTTTCACCTCTATGTCTCCATCCTACTCCCATCGATAGACTTCTTCCTTGTAACAGCCTTTCTACTGAGAGGAGGGAGAGAGATGTTGCATTATCATTACTCCTTTGGAGCCAAGATTGCTAATTGCATTGATTTGAATGTTTGGGACTTTTAGTATTCTCCTTTTATATTACTATGGACTGTAGTCATTGTTTCTGTTGTCTCTTGGCTCTGCTTATATCCCTTTCCATCATGTAAGTTTTTGTTCATATGTCTTCCCAATTTCTCTGAATTCCTCATAATCATCATTCCAGATATTACAGTGATGATTAAACGGAATGGTTTCATCAAAAACTGGTCATACCATGCCTCTCCCTGCCTCCATTACTTGACAAAGCATCTCATTTTATCGTTGTGGGTTTTCCACAAGGGAAGATGAGCAAATATGAGCTAGACAATAGTAAACTTGGGTGGATTCAAAACTTAGTTGAGAGGCCAGTCCCAAAGAACAATCATTTGTAGTCAGATAATCACATTGGAATAAAGTCTCTCCGGGTCCAAGTTTCATAAGAATTTTTCTATCATAGTTCCAAATTATTTTCCAGAACATTTAGATTAATTCAGAGCTCTATGAGCAATGCATTAATCTCTGAATTGATTGTTTCCATCCTTTGACATCTTTGCCAGCTGTCTGGGTGTGAAATGAAACCTCACAATAGTTTTTTTTTAATTAGTTTTTTTTTTATTGAGAGTTCCTTTATTATTACTGAATTTTTCCATTATATTTCAAATATCACTGCAAAGGCTTAGCAGCCATATTTGGCAGTTCTTTTTGAACCCTGGAATTTCCTTCATCTGGGACTGTTGACTAGGTCTCATCACATCTAGCTAGGTGCTCTCTCACTGTTCCCCATTCCTGTCTTAAGAACCAAGTCCCTTTGGTCAGTTTTTGTACTTTATTTTCCATTCCAAAAATCATTTCCCTTGGCAGACAATGCAGAAATAAAATAAGAACTGAACAACTCTAGATTTTCTTTGAAATTTAATTCTTGAAAGCTTCCCATCCCTCCTGGGCTAACATCCCCTATAGAATTTTAGGCTGTGGGATCCTAACCTATTCTCTCTCTAAATTCTTTGAAATCTCAAAAAACTAAAGTTCATGTCAGACAATGCACAGCTTTTCTCTTTCTCCATTTTACATTCTAAGATGAAGTGGTCACTTCCCCTCAAGGGTCCCATAATTCTCATTTTCCCCTGCCCCACCCTCCAAATCAATTCCACTTTGCTGTTGAAAATCAGATTCAGAATAGAATTTTCCCTTGTGAGTTCTCTGCCACTTGAAGGATGAAATTATCATTAAGGTAAGTCAAGAAATTATTAGCTGCTCTACTTTTTGAAGAGAGAGACAGAGACAGAGGGAGTAGGAGGGAGAGGGAAAGTGGAAGGGAGAGAGATCCAGAGAATCTATAGTCTGTACCAGGCTTATGATCAATTTCCCAGACTTTCATCTGTTTCCTTTTTGACCACATGCTCTTTAGTGTATTCTAATGACCACATTGCTTCTGCTTTCTGCCTCCTTTGATCTTCACTCAAATGCTGTTCCCCTCTCCCTTTTGGATCTCTGATTTCCTCCCATTTTAAGGGCCTATTACTGTGCTGGAGACAAAAGGAGGCAAAAGACAGTTCCTGCCCTCAAGCAGCTCACAATCTAGTGGGGGCAATGATGAGGCAACAGATATGTACAAACAAGATATATAAAGGATAAATTGGAAATAATCAGCATAACGAAGGCACTAGAATTAAGGGAGAGAGGGAAAGGCTTCCTGTAGAAGGTGAGATTTTAGCTGGAACTAAAATTAAGCCAGGAAGGTCTGTAGTTGGAGAAGAGGAAGAAGAGCATGCCGGGCATGGAGAACAACCAGAGAAAATTCCCAGAGCCAAGAGATGGAGTGTCTTTTTCAGGGAAAGCAAGGAGGCCAGCATCACTTGATCAAAGAGTACATGTTGGGGAAGGTATGAGAAGTCTGGAAAGGTAGGAAGGGACAAATTTATGAAGGACTTTGGATGCCAAACATAGCATTTGGTATTCCATCCTGGAGGTATTAGGGAACCACTGAAGTTTATTGAGTAAGGGGGTAGGGAAGTGACATTGTTGGACCCCGTAAATCACTTTAGCAACTGAATGGAGGATGAATTGGAGTGGGGAGAGACTTGAGACAAGCAGACCCACTGGCAGGATATTACAGTGGTCTAGGTGTGAGGTGATGAGAGCCTGCACCAGGGTGTGGTAGTGTCAGAGGAGAGAAGGGAGTATCTATGAGAGATGTTGCCAAGATGAAACCAATAGACCTTGGCAACAGATTAGACATAAGGGTCTAGGAAGACTCCTAGGTTTCACAATCTGAGGGACCGGAAGAATGGTGTTGCTCACTACAGTGACTACTATGTGAAAGGGTTTAGGGGAAAAGTTAATGAGTTCTGTTTTAGACATTTTAAGTTTCAGATGTCTACTGGACATGCAGTTTATGACCGAAAGGCAATTGGAGATACAAGATTAGAGGGCAGCAGAAAGGTTGGGCAGGATAAGTACATTTGGGAATCATCTGCGTAGGGATGGTAATAAAATCCATGGCAGATCATGAGATCACCAAGTGAAGCAATATAAAGGAAAGAGGTCAGAACCCTGAAGAACCAGGAAGCCAGTTAGAGAGCATGATCTGGAAGAGGATCCAGCAAAGAAGACCATCCAAGGGACATGTTAATCCTGCAGTATTGTATTCAGGTTGGAACAACATGTATTAGGATGAGCTGATGATCTCCCAGAGGAAGGTGACTAGGATGGGGAAAGGTCTGTAGACTACACCAAAAAAGAACCCGATAACCTAGAGATGGGAAGATTTATGGGTGACATGAATACTTGAATTATCTGAAGGAATTAGAATTGTTCTGCTTAATAGTGATAGTTAACATTTATATAGCATTGTAAGGCTTGCAAAGCGCATACGTACATTCTCATTTGGTCTTCACAACAATCTTCAAAGTAGATACTATTGTAACCCTCTTTTTACAGATGAGGAAACTGACTTGTTCAAAGCCATACAACTAGGAAATGCTTGAGCTGGCAGTCAAGCTCACATCTCCCTGACTCCAAGTCCAGTGTTTTACCCCCCTTTGCCACTTAGCTGCCTTGGCTTGCCCTAGAGAGCACATTCAAGCAATCCATAGAAGTTGTCTAGAGGCAGATTTTTGGCTCGAGGAAAGAATAAACTTTCTAAAAATTAAACCCTAACCCTAAAAATTAGGAACAATCAAAACATGTAATAGGCTGCTTCAGGTGATGGATTTTCCCTTGCTAAAGGTCTTGAATTGAATGAAGCTGGAAAGACCACTTGTTGGGCAAGATGGAGAGGGGATTCTTGGTCAAGTGTGGCTTGAATTCGATGTTCTCTTCCAGCTTTCACTAGAGTGGTTCTGTGGAAGTAAAGGTATAGATACTAGAAGACAGGAAGGAAACCCAACATGAACTTGAACAGTCCTCATTAATACCACCAGCATCCCACTTGCCGAAAGGGTGAAGTGAGGGAGAGGAAGCTTCTGAGGAAGCTCAGGTCTTTCTTCACCCAGCAGGCAGGTGTGACCATGTCACCCTTCTGTTTGGTAAACTCCAGTAACTCCTTCATGCCTCCAGGATCAAACACAAAATCCTCGGTTTGGCAGAGCTAAAGAGCCCTTTGCCCTCTGCTCCCTCCCCTTTTCCAGTCTTTGTATTCCTTACTTCTCCCCATACTGTGTGACCCAGTGATGTTGGTTGTCTTGTTCTTCCACACAACTCTCCA